GATAGCGGGGGTTTCCGTTAAATTAACAGGCACCATCAGTTGGTTCCACCATGAATTTTTGGCCTTGTAGCGGAATCTGTTTAGTGGAAAATTCATTGTTAGATCGTGTAATCGTTGCGAAGAAAGATTTGCGATTGAAGTTGGGCCCTGAAAACCCGGGGGTCAATTCTGTAACTTGCAACATACCTAGTGAAAATGCTAAAAGTGAGCTAAGGGGACAGTTAGAAAGAGACAGAGCCACTCGCTTTTAGCGTTTCCACTACAGTGTAAGATACAGAATTGGCCTACTGGCCCATATTAAAAACCTATCTCATAATAGAGGAGACTTTCCTCTACTAATTTAACGTTGTCAGGTATCTTCTCCGTTCGCGCGACATTTTCTTTAACTAGCAAATAGTTACGAATTCAACGTTACTGAAATTTCGACAGCGAACATCGGGACTTTCGCGCGCGACGAGTTGAGAAAAAAAAATTAATCAGTCACGCGTTCTTCCTCTTTTTTTTTCCCCTCTTCATAAGGTTCGCGGATCGATGCTTATCTCTTAATCGTCGTGTCGTTCAATTATGTATTGACTCAATCTCCTCTCATCTTGGCACAATCGATTAATCGTTATCAAACAAATTTCCAAAGAACGGCGATTAAGCTCAAAATTAACGCCGCGAGTCGTTAACGATACACATCGCTCGCTCGCGCGCGAATGTATCACATATAAAGTAGCGCCAGCGAGACGATAAATTCGGTGCGCGAGAGCGATAACACGTGTGCGGGTGGAGCGTGCGTGCAGTTATGATCTGCGATACCGTTTCTTCCGTTCCGAGTGGACCTCCTCGCGGGTGCTGTCGCAAGCGCGCGTTCTCCCTCGGCGTGTAATTGGCACGAGGTGTTTATTTCGAGAGTAACGCGAGATTAAGCTTATCGAGTTCATTTTGCAACCGCTCGCGAAAAGATTTTAACACCGCGCGCACGAGGCCGTTCGTCCCGCAAGCTCGTCGCCTCTCGTGTGAAACTCGGGGGTCAATTCTGTATCTTGCATAGCGAAAATGCTACAAGTGAGCGGCTTTGTCTCTTTCTAAGGGCCTGCGTCCACGATGCTAAAACTTGGTCCAATCAATTTGCAGATTTTATGGAAAAATAGCTGCAAGTTGATTGACTGCACATTTCTCAAAACTAGAACTCGGACCAAGTTTTAGCATCGTGGACACAGGCCTTTATGGAGTGGCTGCAAGTTGATTGAGTACGCATTGTTCGAAACTAGAACTTGGACCAAGTTCTAGCGTCGTGGACTCAGGCCTTAAGGGGGACAGTTGGAAGGTGGCAGAGCTACTCCCTTTTAGCGTTTTCACTACAGTGCAAGATACAGAATTGACCCATCGGACTCCCGCGCCATTTATCGTTGACGTAAACCTCTAATGCGATGTTATTTTGACTGTCACCGCGCGCGCGGCGTGCAGACGGAGCGGCTTCGCTTATCCGCAAATACAAAAAATATTTTTACATTATCAAAGCCTCCTTCCGACATTATCGCGGCACGCGATAATGTAGCCGCGATAATGCGCGTTGCGTCTCGTCTGTGGAATTGGGTTTTATTGACACGCGAAGCGGGAAAAGGCGATCGCGCGGTTTATCGCACGAAACGTGCGAGAAATAAATATCGGAGATGAGAGAAGGAGGGAAACCGGCAAGTTACAGTTTCCACGAATCACCTCGTGTCGTTTTGCTCGTCGCTACGTCGCGATACGTTACGCGAACAATACGGGCATTCATCGGGAAGTGAGTAAAAAGTGCTCCTCGCAAATTGCTAATTTTTATTTTGTTCGATTCTGCGCGTATCTCCGTACGCGGCGGCGTGACCGACCGGACAGTCCGATAATATTTCGAAATACACGAGCGCAACGAAATGTGCAAACGCAATTCGTTATTATCGGGTGCTGACGTGATTATGCGCGAATTGCGGCGACCTTCGAGCGAGCGGATTGGATTGACCTAGGCAATGCGCTTCCTACATAAATACACGGGGCAAATTAACCGCGATAAACTCTAGTTGCAAGTCGGTTTTCTCCCAGTGGGCAAGTATTTTCGCAATTCGCGCGATCCGCACGTAAAGCTGCAACGGCGCCGGAAGCGAGTTCGCGTCGATCCCGCGGGAAAAGACGAGAGTTCGCTTTGTAGACATTTCCGCGATTGCAAGATAACTTTTGTCCCCCTTTCGATTGATCCAAAGTTGCGTCTAGCTTGCTTTTAAGCCTCATCTACGATGCCCTTTTTGCGAAGAGAAACATTCTATTTTGTAGCGCAATTAATTGTGCAATCGTGCATTGTCGGCCAATTTTTTTAAGAATTTTGATTCGCTTGTGTAAAATAGAAAATGTTTCTAGACGCGAAAAACATTAGGCTTTCTAATCTACAATGTGCTCTTTGCGTCTAGAAACATTGTACTTTGTAGCCAATAATTTTAAAATTTGTGCAAGTTGACAAGTTGTACAGTACACATTGACTACGTTTACACGTCACCCTTAATCGGATTTAATAACATCTGTAGTTATAAAACTGACCAATCACAACTATTCTTCAGAAGAATGGAATGACTGCGATTGGTCAGTCCCTTAACTACGGATGTTATTAAACCCGATTAGGGTACCGTGTAAACATGGACATTGTCGACAAATTGTTTAAGCATTTTAATTCGCTTATATAAAATCGAAAAGGTTTCTAGGCGTAAGGAGCACATAGAATAGGCTTTGGAGTGGACAATCGATGCTTCAAAGTTAGCGAAGCAACTAACAGGTACCGTCTGACGCGACACTGCCAGGACCGAGCTGGACAAATGATCGATAAAAACAGGCTGATAACCGATACGACATCTAGCAAAGATTAGCAAAGGGAAAACAATGCAGATTGTTCAATCTGCATTGCTTTCCCCTCGGTCGTCAGGCGCAATACGATGCAGGCGTAAACAAACTTTGGCCGGTATTCGTAGTCCGTTGTTACGTCGAGATCATCTTTAAGCAATGCTTTAAGACGCTAATACGGCCCTGTGATTGGTTTACAATATATTAAGACTACTCGAGACGAACTTAAACATAAGAACGTCAGTGTTTTCTCGGCCATACACACCTAGCATCTTTAACAGTACGGAAAATCGATTGCGAAAAATATTACCTCAGCCAGGGTTTGAACCTGGACCTTCCTACGCTCTGGACAGACGTCTCACCAATTCGACCGCCGAGGCATACATTAATTTTATATAAATAAATAAATATGTTAAATGTAAGAACGGACTATGAATGCCGGGCGCCTCTTCGCTGACGAAAAACGAAGGCAGGCGAGGCGAGGCGATGATTTCGCCGGAATAAATCCGCAGCCGCCGATCGCGCGAGCGTCGTCGCCGCGATAACGAGCGCGGCGTTAATTTGGCGCGCGGGCCGAGCGGTTCCGAAAACAAACATCGCCCGGTTGCATTTATATAATCGCGCCCCGGGATCCACTCCGGCGGAGGCGAACGTACGCGAATAGTTTTTATCAGCTCTTCCGCGCGCGATATCTAGATCTTTTTTTCCCCGCTTGGCAACAAATCGAAATCGAGCGGCGGGTGGGCGCGCGTGTGCCATTGAGTCGCCGGGAAGAGCTGAATGAAAACATGGTCGCGGGCGAAAAAATGCGGGAGATAAGGCGAAGAGCGGGGTCGGTAGACTATCGGGAGACTCACCGGTGATCGCAGACTGTTTCCTCGCGGCGTGGGACAGCACGGGGGTGGTCGGCTCCATCGAGCACCTCTTCCTCTTGGCGTCCGCGTCCGGGAGGTGATGCGGCGTCGTGGCCTCGCCGATCTCGGGCACGCGGGGCTCCTGCGGCGGCGTCCTCTCGGCCGTCGGCGTGGCGACGACGACGGACTCGGTCTGCTCGGCGATCCTCGTGCTCGTCAACGCCGCGGCGAGCGACGTCGTCCCCGTCGCGGACGGCGACGTCGCGGCGGCGCTGCTCGACGACGCCTCGTCGAGGCGCAGCTTGCGCGGCGTCCCGGGCGCGTGTTTCCTCAGGTAGGGCATGCCGCGCAGGGCGTAGGGCTCGGGCACGACGTCGTGCTCCGTCAGCGGTTTCCACTCGTAGCGCGAATTGGACCGCGGCACGCCCAGCTTGAAGTTGAAGCCCCAGCGGTCGGCGTCGAGCCGCGACTGGGCCTGCAGCTCGCGGTCGGCGAGCGCCCGCGCCGCCGCGTGGTCCACCGGTCCGAAGAGATCGCGGCGGACGCGCGCGAGCGCGGCCCTGCTCGGCGCCGCTCGTCCGCCGCCGCCGCCGCCGCCGTCCAGGTTCCTGCTTATTTCCGTCATCATCGCCGGGTTCAGCACTCGCGCGCTCATATTTCGTCGCGCTCCGCAACGGCAAGCGTTGACGCTCGCGCGCCGTTGCCGCTCTCGCGATCTGTACACAAACGCGGAAACACACGAGCGGCGCGAAGGTCCCGCGGGCGCGGAAAAAAGTCCGAGAGATAAGCGCGCACGCCGTCTCTTCCTACTCCCCCTCCGTCCTTGCTTTCTCGCTTTCTCCGTCGCTCTCTTTCTCCCTCACCGCACTATCGACACGAGTCGTGACACGCGCTGCGAGATAAGAGATCCGCTTCTTCTAGCATTGGCCGTGACGCGGGAACGACGATGACTCCTTCCAGGAACCGCGTCCCCCGCTGCCGCCGCCGTCGACGTCGTCGTGGGACGTTGAAATAATCGCGGCACTACGCACCGCGCGACCGAGACGTGGCAACGTCGCCAGCCGTGGCGCGACCCACCGAATTTCGAATAATGGCCGCGCGCCGCCGAGCGTTGACCAGGGCGCAGCTTCGCGGTCCGCGCGGCGTTCCGCGACGGCGACGACGATCCACGGCTTGATCTCCGTCCGGGAAAGCGCGGATCACAGGGCACGACGCGCGCACAGCGAACGGGCAAACAGCGGCCGCGCTTGGCAACACACGGGGGTGGGGGAGTGGAGGGGGGGCGCGCACACGGTTACTATGTGCCAGACAGAGATAGCGCGGCGGCGAAAACAAACTCCGCCGCACCGCCCTGGCGGGGCCACCGCGGAGCAGCGATCCTCTCTCCTTCTACCTCCCGGCGGCGAAGACGCCGCGAGATATCGCGTACCCCGATCGAGCACTGTATCCGTATCCGTTCGCACTCTCCTCGACTCTCCTCGCCGACACGCGAGACGATTCTCCCTCGGACGAGATCCGGCAACGTCGCGCGCGCGGCCGCCGCACTTGCGCGCGAGTAACGCGAGCGACGGCGAGAGAGCGTGCCGCGACGTATCCCGCGCGAATTTCGTCGCCCGCCGTTCGCCGGCGATCGTCCGTGACGCCAGCCGATCTCTCCGTCCCAAACCTTGCTTGTCCGTGCGTGTGCACGTCTGTCTCTGTCTCTCTCTCTCTCTCTCTCGCTTTCCGCGTCTCGCACTCACGCACGAGACACCGTCACCCACGGCAGAGACGCGATAACGCAGCCTCGATGAGGAAATTCCATAGAAAAGCGTTATTGCACACGGCCCGCAAGCAATATGTCGAATCTGCGGTGGGGGAGTCGGCCCCTGACACCGCGTAAATAAGCACCGCGCCGGGCCTCGGCCCGCGTTTCCCGCCCAAACAGACGCGCGACTGTCAAAGGCACACGGTGCGCGTGGCCCACCGGGGGCCTGGAAGGACGTGCCGAGCACGATTGCGCAGTTACGTGACGTCGCGCACGGGCCGATGCGTGCGCGCGGCCCGCGGCTCTCGACGGAGTTGCGCGGAGACACGTAGTCGACACGAGGAGCGCTCTCTGGCGACTGAAGCGTGCCCCTTTCTTCGCGAGCAGAGCGAGCCTCCCGCGAGATCGGCTCTCTCCGGCCGCGCGCCTCGGGCGGGCTCGGCGCCCGCCGCCCCGCCCCGCCCCACCTCCGCCGCCGCGCCGCGAGGCCAATCACGCGGCGCGCGGAGGAACGAAATAACCGCCATTCGCGACGTATAGTCCCCTCGACCCGACTGCGGCCGCGCGCTCGGCAACCCGCGCGAGCCCGCGCCGTGCCGTGGCCGCGGAAAGATTGTACAGTTATCGTGGAGGGGGGGTAGGGCCCCCCTACCGCCGCGCGTCGGAGCACCGAGCTGGCCCCCGTGCGAAATGCCAATCGCGAGATCTGCCCCTGCTCTCGTGTGCTCCAATATTCCAGGTTTCGGACTACGGGGGGAGGACGAAATTCGAAGAGTCCGACTCGTTGGGTCGGATTCTTAATGGGATTACCCGAGGGGACGGTATTACGAGAGCGCCTGTGAAAAAACGCTCCCTCCCCC